AAATATTTATTTTTATGAAAACATAAAATAGAACAGAAAACTACATATAACTAAAGAAGTGAAGTCTCTGGCTTGCCATCACTCCTCCAGCTGTCATTTGCCTTTTTATCAGCCTAATCATTTAGGGCCTATTTCACCTGTCTCCTTATGATCCCCAAAATTTGGCCAATCCATCAGCCCATTTGTTACCCTCGAGCCTATGTATAGCTTGCAAATAAAGGTACGGTATATAAATGCATGCATGTATTCACCTTTAATGTTTTACCTTCAATGCTAACCGAAAGTTTATAAATTGCACTTAAATATACCTATTTAATTTAAAATTGTATTAGTTTTAGACCAATACAATTTAAAATGATAACTATGATTAGAAAATTAATAAAATATTTACTTACCACTAGAGACCTCAAACAAATAACCACAAAACACAATAACTTGGCAATAAACTTTATGACAAACATATAACAAATAGCAATGATGGCGAATGAACCTTTACAATCTGTGGAATGAAGCAAATAAACATGAAAACCCTTTGGATGTACCTAACAATCATGGCATCATATTTAACGGACGCTACCATAGAAAAAGGACGCTTCTTTATCTTCTGTGTTCGGCAGCAGTGTTGTCAGACGTTTAAATAATTTCAGAAAGCTCATCAAAATGGCGGTTATATTATTAAATCTTTAATACTTAATTAATTAGTATACCTAGTATACCTATTTGACATAAATGTGGTGAATAATTATTTTAAATTTATTTAATTTATTTATTAAAACTTAATAAAGTACGGAAATATATTTCGTTTAACCGGCAACACTGAAGATTCTCAAATTCAGCGCGTGCGTAGTACTATGAAATACAATAATAAACAAAAGGGACTTTTTTAAGTAATTTTTTTATTGTATTGCAGACTGTCATAGTCATATTATTAACATAAATAATATTATTATAATATAATATATAAATATTATTATCTGGGTAAAGTGAACATTTCAAAATTAAAAATTTCGTAGCTCTTGGCAAAAAATCAATTTACCGTAAAGTTGTTTTTTTTACATATGCTAGTTTAAACCATCACAAAATCCCACATGTATACATACAAGTATATATACAAGATATCCATATCAGTTATCCACCGGATATCCAGTGGATATACATTAGATGTACAGTAGATATACTTTGGACATACATTAGTTATCCATTGGATATATATTAGAGATACTTTGTTGAAATTGGGTTAATAACGATTTAAATCATATTTATTAATCATTACATAAATTTATCCTATAAGGGGCTATTTTAACAAAGAAAAAAATATTTTTAATGTTTTTGTTTTTTTTGAACATCCAGTATGGATATCCATTGGATATCCAGTGGATGTACAGTGGATATACTTTGGACATACATTAGTTATCCATTGGATATATATTAGAGATACTTTGTTGAAATTGGGTTAATAACGATTTAAATCATATTTATTAATCATTACATAAATTTATCCTATAAGGGGCTATTTTAAAAAAGAAAAATTTTTTTTAATGTTTTTGTTTTTTTTGAACATCCAGTATGGATATCCATTGGATATCCAGTGGATATCCAGTGGATATACATTAGATGTACAGTGGATATACTTTGGACATACATTAGTTATCCATTGGATATATATTATAGATACTTTGTTGAAATTGGGTTAATAATGATTTAAATCATATTTATTAATCATTACATAAATTTATCCTATAAGGGGCTATTTTAAAAAAGAAAAAAATATTTTTAATGTTTTTGTTTTTTTTTAACATCCAGTATGGATATCCATTGGATATATATTAGAGATACTTTGTTGAAATTGGGTTAATAACGATTTAAATCATATTTATTAATCATTACATAAATTTATCCTATAAGGGGCTATTTTAAAAAAGAAAAAAATATTTTTAATGTTTTTGTTTTTTTTTGGATATCCAATGGATATCGTAAAAGGGATGGATGTTATATGGACATTGGGATAGCCATTGGATATCCATTGGATAGCGTGTTCTGTGTGGGTATCGGGTGCTACCGGATTCAATATGTGCATTTGTCCATGGTTTTTTCCGGATACGGCCCGATAGAAAATGTATAGGAAATTACCTATACACCATAACTTTTAGATTTTTCCTATAGAGACCAATAGCAAATAACTCAATGAAGGATATATAGGGATATCCCTATAGAGCAACCACAAAACATTTGAAATTTTTTTATTAAAACCTATGGGGTCCTATGGGGAAAAACTAGTTTCTACATTTATGTGGATTTTCACCATTGAAACCAATAGCAAATAAATCAATGGTGGATATCCCTATAGAACAACCATAAATCCCAACTATGGGTCCTATACATACCGATACACCCTATAGAAACACAATACAACATACAAATATCTATCGGTTTGAACAGGGTCTCTATGGGGTATTTTAAGCAGGGGTCTTAACGTTAATATAGTCTATTCTTTTTGTGGCATTTAACCACCGTTTGCACAAATCAATGTTTTTCGGGAATCGATTAAATTTAATGTTTTTATTTAAAGGGATTTTCTTGGACTGGTTGTCCGAATTGCATCCAAATATGCCACACTGCATTTTAATAAATGCAAATGGTACGACACAAACTAAAACACAAACAAAACAAGTTTACGCAGCACAAAAACGATAATAAACAAACAGAACAGGTTAACCCAACGCAATAACAATAATTTGAACACTGTAAAGTAATTCGAACCTTACCGAACACAAAAACAACAATTTAAACAAAAAATAGAGCAAGTTAACATCCAAAAGCATCGGAAAAACAAGAGTTTTAGCAGCAGATAATTAAAAAGCACGTTAAAGATTTAAAAACACTCATCAAGTGACGTATTTAAGCCCCGCCCAACATGCGCACCATCCTATCTTAAGGTGTATGTATCTTGGTCAATCTCGGTCAACAAGTCTATGCCTACTTAAACGACCATGGCAAAAACGGCTCGTGGGTAGGAGTGGAAACAATACTAGCCACCTCAGACGTATTCAACGTCGCCGCAACTGAAATACCACGAACAGGGCGATCTCTGCTAGACAGAACGACAATATCCCTACAATAGCAATATGCTACAGGCTTGGTCCATTAGGTAACCATAACCACTACGACAGCATCTTAAAGGTATGGCCAAAACAGAGAAGTTTAAAAAACATAAACATGGCCGCCGTTATAGTCTGTACAGTGGGTTGCCTAACTTCGTGATTTTTACTATGCGCGAAACAGACCGTGTTGTGTGTTTGTTGTTTGCCGATGTTGCCGAATTTATTTTTTTGTGAAGCATGATTAATTTGCGATTTTTCTGCCCTACCACAAAATTAATTGGCCCCCATTTACCAGTAACGTTTAAATTTAAACGTTGAAAAGAAAAGAATGGAAAATTTTAATTACGAAATACAGTTATTGCTACCTGAAAATATTTAAGTAAAAGAGCGTTAAAGACAATTACCGTTTTTTCTAGGAACGGCGACTGCAATGGTATGGAAAAGGTTAACTGACATTTCTCTTTAGCCTTGCATCTTGCAATATTGACGAAATACAGTTAACGCTTTTATTATAATATATATTATGTGAGCGTATTTTTTTGAAAACGTTAACTGCATACGTTTTTTATTTTTGTAAGAAGTCTAGGTTCAAAAGCATTTGCTGCTCCCCGAAATCTCAACTTTGACCTATTTATAAGCGTCTCCAAAATTTGTGTTAGTTAACGCTTTTTTGTCAAAGGTGAGGTCTTTGCAGTAAAAGAAAAAACTAATGCGTTTTCTTTAAAATCTTAAGCACAATAAAATGCGGAATTTCTTCACGATTTTAATGATAACACTATATATACCTATGTAACAAAATTTGATTTTTGTTTTGTTTAATGGATTTTTTTGTTAAATTCAATCAATATTTGTGTGCCAAAAAACTATTCTAACTTAATTTTAAAAATGTAGTGATAAGTTTTTATTATTTATTTATATAATATAATTAAACCCAGTTTTATCAAAAACAAAAAAAAATATTGACAAGAAATGGCAAGAAATTCAACTCAGAATTATTATTTTAACAAAATATACAATCTAGAAAAATATTTTCTTAACATAGATTTTAAATATTGGCTCAAAAATGAATTTTAATACGACTCTTTCTTTTATATGATGCATTTTCTTCCCGAAGTAGATTCCAAACATAGTCACCCATCATTGTCGCATCCCACCTTCCTTGTTATCACTTTTCCATTGCCCGAATATCTTGATGGAATCTTTCCTCATGTTCTTCGCTGAAATCTCCCAGATTTTCACGGAAAAAGTCAAGATGCGAATGCAAATAGTGTAGGTACTTTCAACGACATGCGGCATCCCATTTCTTTAAAACTTCCTAATAAAACTTTGACAAGGTCAGTATAATTTTCTCTTTTGTGGTTACCAAGGAAACCTTTCATTTAAATTCTCACGTTAACTTTTGAGTTTAAAAAATATGTATTATAATCCAATTTTTGTTAAAAAAAATATTCATTTTTTTTACTTGTTCTCCACAAAGAAAGTTTAATGGCCAAAATCTTAAGTGAGGGATAGTGGGGGGGTCCACCACAACTCACCAAATCTCACCAAGGGGGAGGGAGGGGTCCAAATTATCAGAAAAATGACTCACGTAATTAATGGATTTCCCCTAATGACAATCAAAGCCATCAACACGATCTGACGGCTGTCGTTGAAAATTTGACAGTTTGAAAAAACAAATGTATGTTAAGTAATCGGGGGCATGGCCTACTACGATTTGTTTAATAAAATCCAGATAAACAAATATCATGTTACATAGTGTAATATTTTCGTCAAAGATTTTTTTACTTTGAACGGCAGTCTGGCTTGTGGGAAAACCCTTTTTAATGTAAATGTAGTCTTTACTAAAGACTCTTTAGTAAGTAAAAATATATAACTTTTTGAGTTTTTGTTTTGTTTTAGGGAATCATTAAAAGTAGACAATTCCGACGTCTTCGAAAACCATTGTCCGCATTGCCCAAAAGCGTACTCAAAAAAAGGTCTTTTAAAAAACCACATCAAAAATAAACATGGCGGCTCCACACAAAGAAAAAAATACATGTGTCCGCATTGCGACAAAGAATTCTTACACAAACAATCTATCACGGAACACATAAAAATAAAACACGAAGGTTTTAAATACCGTTGCCCACATTGCCCAAATACGTACAGCGGTTCTGTTAACTTGGAAAACCACGTGCAAATCAAACACGCCGTTCAAAAAAAAGAATACAAGTGTGCACATTGCGACGAAATATTCCCGGATAAGTACCGCAGAAAAAGGCATGCGCGCTTGCGGCACACCGAGAAAGTAGTGACAAAAACAACATCTATTTGCCCATATTGTGATCGAATTTTTTTTTCTCACGCCAATCGACGTATTCATATTAAAGTACAGCACGAAGGATTTACATTCAATTGCGAACATTGCCCGAAAGCTTTTAGGACAAGAACAAGTTTACGAGTTCACCTTAAAAAAAAACATGGCGGTCCCTTACAAAGCACAAACAAAGAATATAAATGTCCACATTGCGGCAAATTATTTTCTTGTCAAAATAGTTTAATGAGGCACATAAAAATACAACATGACCGACAAGGGGAGAACTTCAAATGTCCACAGTGCGACAAAAAATTTACCTATAAGGAAAACATGAAGAGACATATAAACTCGCGACACAATCCAAAAGGCAAAAAAGAATACAAATGCCCTCAATGCGACAAAAAACTAACAACTGCAAGAGGTTTGAACATTCATATAGAAAATCAACATACTAACGCAGAAAAAAAATACAAATGTTCGGATTGTGATCAAAAATTCTTCCACTCATCTAATTTGCAAACACACATACAATCAAAACACAGTGGTTTAAAATTTAGTTGTAAACATTGCTCAAAAACTTACACCACAAATCAAAGCTTAAAAGTCCACGTTCGTGGAAAGCACGCCAAAGAATAAGGTCCCTAAACGATAAAAAGTCTACTGCCTCGGTCATAATATGACCTTTCTCGGCCCGGTCTATAATATACTATGTTAAATAACTTTTTGGCAAATGCCAAACATTTTGTTGCAATATGAATACATGTTTTACAGTTACAAGCGTTTTAATAATAATATGTTTTACCCTTTTTAAACATTTTCTTTTATTTCGAGTAAGAGTAAGAGAGTATTAAAACTCTCTTAGGAGGTCGTGGATGAGTTTCGATGGTTAAGGCGCTTCCCGGAATTTTGTCGCCGGGCCGGGCTATACGCCCGACAAGGAGGGAAAACATTTAGGTTTTTGGGGGGCATTGTACTAACCCAAAACCAAGTACAATCCGGAATACCCCTAAACCAGGAATTTAGTTATAAAATAAATTTATTGTATATAATGGATTGTACACAAAAATATTATAATGTACAGTGCATATATATAAATGTCAAAAAAAACAGAAAAATGTTAATTAATTAAGATTTAATAGTCTACAGAAGTCACAAAATTCACGTAGTGAATACGGCTCAATGTTGGAAATAAAATCAAAAACTTTTTTTGACAAAAAGTCCTTTTTTGTTTTAATGAATTAAGTAAGCAATTGAACAAGTAGCCTGCACGAGGCGGCAAAATTCGAAGGGCGGCAAAAATCGAAAGGTGGCAAAAAGTTATTCAATACAATACGATATAGGTTCTAAATTAGACATTTCCAATTTAATTTTAATTTAAACAGATTTTTTTTATTTTTACTACTGGTCAGTTTTTAAAATAATTATTATTAGAATATATTACTGTTTTTTAGAATGCGATGATATTTTATTTATTTGTTATTAAATAATAATTTTTTAAACTTTTAGACCTATTTTAAAATTTTAAATCTTCTTTTAGTGCACCATGTTTTGAATATTTAACCCTATTTAATTATCTCTATTCAAAACGAAGCTTTTTCTAGAAAAACTTGCAAATTAGAATCCCATTATAAGACCATTCCTACATGCACTGCAGTCGTCAATGATTTAGCAATAGAATAGAGATCTCTTATGCATGTGATTTAGCCCTATGTAAGTTATATAACTTGTACCTACATATTTCCAATACATACATTTATATCTATGAAATCATATTTTTTAAGTTTAAAAACAAACATTATTTTAACTAGATTCATAGTAAAAATAAAAGGCATATGCCTTTTATTTTTACTATGAATCTAGTTAAAATAATGTTTGTTTTTAAACTTAAAAAATATGATTTCATAGATATAAATCCCAAATATGGTTATAACCATAAAACCATATAGGTAAGGTATATTTAAAACTAATAACATACTATAGTATGTTATGACTTTACATGATTGGCTAACCTTAAGTCCAAATATGGTCCTCACTAGGGTGGCCCAAAAAAAAAGAATATCTTTTTTTTCTCGTCTCTTGTAAAAATATGTTAGTTTATCATGCTGTAAGAGCCCTGTCAAAATATCAGCTCGATTAAAAAAAATTTTAGGGGTCGCTCAAGATTTTTTAAAATTTTCAAAATCGTCAAAAATTGAATTTTTATTTTATTTTAATTTTTTTCTTGTCTCGATATTATTTTTTTGGTAGAAAATAATAAAAATTTTGAAAATATCATATTAATATTTTAATTTGTAAAGGTCGCTAAAAGTTCGTTGGTATTTATATTCAGAGGTCGCTCGAAAACATTCAAAATACTCTACTTTGAAAGTTAAAAAAATCTTGAGCGACCTTTAGAAATCAAAATATCCATTTGAAATTTTCAGAATCATTATTATTTTTAAATTAAAAAATAATATCGGAACGAGAAAAAAAATTAAAATAAAAAAAAATACAATTTTTGACGATTTTGGAAATTTTTAAAAATCTTGAGCGACCCCTAAAAAATTTTTAATGCAGCTGATCTGTTGACAGGACTCTTAAAACATGACAAACCAACATATTTTCACAAGAGACAAGAGAAAAAAAATATTCTTATTTTTTTGGGCCACCCTAGTTCTCACTGCACATTTTTGAATAATAAAAATCTGCTGAATATTACTACCTTGTCCCCAAAATGCCATATCTCAGTATAGATTGGAAGTTTTTCAAATAGATAGTTTTGAGAAATCTAATAGAGTAAAGATTTATGAGCTACCTGCTCAATGAGATTTTTCCAACTCATGTTTTCATCTAAGAAAAGCCCTAGGAATTTTACATTGTCTGAAAATTTCAAAAAGTTGTTTCATATTTGGAGGATCCTCGAGTTTAAAAGTTTGATAAGGCTGTTTTGAACAGTATGAGGTTACTTTTTCCTTGATTCAAAATGAGCTGGTTTTTACAGAACCATGTTTCAATATTTGACAAACATAAGTTGCTCTTAATTATAATATCACTATAGTCTTTGGCATTTATTAGAAGGTTTGTATCCTCAGCGTAATTCACAATGTTACAATCAACTGAATGTATAATGTCATTCATAAAGATTATGAAAAGTAATGGACCTGCGGTATCCCAATCTTTACTGCTCTGTTCTCAGACATGAAAACACCAGAATCACTTAAAATTTCAACTCTATTTGTGAGATATGATTTAACCCAATTTAGGGCACTACCTCTAATACCATATCTTTCCAGCTTTTCAAGAGGATTTCATGGTTCAGGGTGTCATATGTAAGATCTAAGAAAATACCCAAAGAAAATTTTTTGTTGTCTAACATTTTAAGAATCTATGAGGTAAAACTGAAAACAACTGTATCAATGCTACGCCCTTTTATGTAACCATGTTGCTTCTTATTAATGATCTCAAAGTTCTATCTGTTCGTTTGCGTCCGTGTCTGCTGAAAATTCCTTTGCTGAAGGTTCGGGCACTGCAGTCCACTGTGCGAAACCGTTTCTTCAGCCTAGGGTCGAGAACCATCGATAGATAGTTTTCGGTAGTCGGAAATGTGACTACCGATAGTTAACAATAGTTTTTTTGTTTATAATGAATTATGCGAAAATTATCTGTAAATGTAAGTAGATACAAATTAATTGCCCCACTGTGCGTAAGGCTTAGCTTTATTTTAGTAAAGACTTATTAAAATAGTGGTGTGTTGGCATATTAAATAAATTTTATTTTTGATGTCTAGTTGACTGCACTTGACTTTTTGTTTATGGGTGAATATATTGAGATGTCCCCCAAGTGAAAATGATTATTTTTTATTTTTGGTTGTTTCACTGTTAGTCTAGAATGGGGTTTTTGGGAAGCCACCAGGTATAATAATACCATAACATAAGTGGTTCTGCACTATAGTGCAGAATTTTAAGAAATCATACATTTTGAATATTAGAGCTTCACGGAAGATAGCTTCCGATAGGTTAGGATTTTGTATGTTTTTTTTTAAACATCCCTTTGTATTTTTGAAATAAGTTATTGTATCTTTTAGCACCTTAATATTTTTTAAAAATATACAATTTTTTATACATAAAATATTTATAAAAAAAATCTACATCTACCTACTGAGATATTACACTTCACAGTGGATAGGTTTTTAAATAGCAAATTAATGAACTTAAACTTTTGAATCATAAAACAGCAATACTCTCATCTGCATATAAATTCTAACTGACCATCGGGAATCACATGCATTTATAATGTCGTAAACAGAGGTTTTTGCTTATTTAAAATGATTAAATCCGTTGCATAAAATTTAAAGCCAAAGCAGATTCACGGAGGATATAATCAATTTTTGTAACACCTACATAAATATATGAATAAAAACGGCAATTCTCTGCAATTAGGTATATTTATTATTTTTATATCCCTACTAGTCCGGTCAAAATAGACATTTCAAATAACAAAAATTCCGACAGAGCTAAATTTTGGTAGAGACCTTGGGTACACCAGTAGAAATAAAGTGCCAAAAGTCCCCATTGATCCCATGTGTGCTAAAAAAGTTACTCAAGGTCAAAGTCAAAATTTTCGGTTTTTTTGATTTTTCTCGAAAATGATAAGTTTTATAAAAAATATATTACAAAAAAAATTGTAGATCATAAAATTGTCTACAAAAATTGTCCTTATACTTTTTTTCCTAAGAATCACCATTCCTAAGATATCGCCATTCTAAAAGTTGAAGGAGTTACATTCTACATGATATGCACACAAATACCACGTATATACATAGTCAGGCACTTAAAATAATTAAAAATGCCTATTTGTATCTCTTATATGTTTAAACCATACAATTCTGAGAATATACAATAAAAGTCCCTTAGCCAGTCCCTTCTATATTTTTGTCTAGTCGAATATGGTTTTAGTTTACACACGTAGCACATGTGGCAGGACCGGCGGTTTATCTTGGCGGTTGCTTGGTAACGAAATCAACAAACTTATGATGGCTCATATACCTGCTTTTCTCAAGTGGTTAAGTGAAATACTTTTAGTGTTGTTCGTTCCTTTCGAGTGAATATTAGTGAATACATGTATTTATTGCTAGCGTCTACTATTACAGTTTGTTCCCATTAATATTTTTAAAAATGTCACAATTATGCTTTATTTGCAATAAACTTTTGACGGAAAGTAAAGCTGTTACAGTTAGTCGTAGAATGATCGAAAGAGGTGATGAGTTTGTTGATTATCTGAGAAGTAAAAAGTCTGTAATAATGCACGTGGATTGCCGAAAATCATACACCCGGAAAAGTTCAATTGCTGTTATCAAAAGGATGGACAAGCTAGTACATCAAAAGTAACTCCACCTCGTATTAGAGCACGAGAAAGTGAATCCGACTTTTGTTTTAAAAAATGTTGCTTACTTTGTGGCGATGAAGCGGATGAAGAGGCTAAAAAAAAATCGCTACATCGTCGACAAAAAATTTATAACGTTGCTACACTTTCATTTAAAGAATACGTTTTGACAGTAGCTCAGGATCGTTCTGATTACGTATCAAAAGCTGTCACTGAACGCATTAAATTTGAGTATGATTTAGTTGCTGCTGAAGCTAAGTATTATGACAATTGTTACAAACCTTTCCTGAGACCTAATACTGGCAGTAGAGTAGGACTTCCTCAAGATGAAGCAGCAAACTTTTCGATGGAGAAAATTCATAATTTTATAGAAAGTATTGATGATTGCCTGTTTACATTGTATGAACTAAAGA